TAGCATGACATATGCACATTTTGGACTCTTTTCGCACAGGCGATTCTGTAAAGCACTCAAGAGGGAGTTTACAGCAAGAATCTAAACCAAATTCCAAACAAACTTTCTCATCCTAACAGGTGCTGAAACTTTCAAGGGGTCACCCTAGGTGTTTTCCATTGGAGATTTGCTCCGGTCCAACAAAAAGTACCTTGAGGTACTGGTACCTCACGGAATCGTTTCCGATCGTTGAATCTAACAATGCTCATCCTGCTCAGCTAGATCCAACGATCGGAAATGATCTGGTACCGTGAGGTACCGGTATCTCAAGATATTTTTTACTAGACTGGAGCATATCTCTTCTTGTGGACATGTAGAGTATCCCTATTCGTCTAATTAATGTTATTTATAAAAGATTTGCTCCATTCCAGCAAAAATTATCTCGAGGTTCCGGTACCTCACGGTACTAAATCGTTTCCGATCATTGGATCTAGCTAGGCAGGATGGGCATTATTAGATCCAACGACCGAAAACGATTTAGTACCGTGAGGTACCAATACCTCGAGATACTTTTTGCACGACCGTTGCAAATCTCTCGGTATCTCAAGATACTTTTTGCTAGACTGGAGCATATCTCTTCTTGTGGACATGTAGAGTATCCCTATTCGTCTAATTAATGTTATTTATAAAAGATTTGCTCCATTCCAGCAAAAATTATCTCGAGGTTCCGGTACCTCACGGTACTAAATCGTTTCCGATCATTGGATCTAGCTAGGCAGGATGGGCATTATTAGATCCAACGACCGAAAACGATTTAGTACCGTGAGGTACCAATACCTCGAGATACTTTTTGCACGACCGTTGCAAATCTCTATTTATAATAAGGTACAGATTTTTCGTACAACCATTTGACAGGTACATTGTAATAGTTGATGATATATGGAGCATACCAACATGGGAAATTATTGAGTGTGCTTTTCCAAAAGAGGATTGCAAGAGTCGAATAATCACAACTACACGCAAAATCGATGTAGCGCAAAGCTGAGCTTCTCAGGGTGATCTTGTTTACAGAATGAAACCCCTTAGTAGCATTGATTCTAAAAGGTTATTCTTGAAAAGAATATTTGACTCTGAGGAAAATTGCCCTTCTCACCTTGTCGAAGCTTCGAATGCAATATTGAGGAAATGTGGTGGTTTGCCATTGGCAATCATTACCACATCTAGCCTGTTGGCTAACAAGAACAAAACAGATCAATGGGATCGGATACAAAGATCCATTGGTTATGCACTTGCAGAGAATTCAGATTTTAAGGCATAAGATATTATCTCTCAGCTATTTCGACCTACCTCAACATCTCAGAACTTGCTTGTTGTTTCTGACTATATTCCCAGAAGATTTTAGGATTCCTCGAATGCATTTGATAGATAGATGGATAGCTGAAGGATTCATTCAAGGAGATAGTCGACAAAACCTATATAAATTGGGAAATTCTTATTTCTATTAACTTATTAACAGAAGCTTAGTCCAGCCATTGGAAATACGCATTGATGGCCAAGCGCGGAGTTGTCGAGTCCATGACACCATCCACGATTTCCTCTTGTCCAAGTCTATTGAAGAGAACTTTGCTGCTACAATCAACTATCCACAGCTTACATGTTTGTCAACTCCAGATATGAAGGTTCGTCGACTATCTCTGATACAGGGACACGAGCAATCAGACATAATTATTTCTCCAAGCTGGAATTTATCGCAGCTTAGATCCCTACTATTTTTTGGGGTGCAAAGCAACTACCCACTTTCTCCAACTTCAGCACCTTGCGTGTGCTGGACTTGTGGTTTTGTGCTGAATGTGGATTAGAAAACCATCATCTTGAGACTGTGACAAGACTTTCTCAGTTGAGGTACCTGACAATCCAAGGGAAGAAGATAACTGAACTTCCAAGAAAATTTGGAGATCTCAAATGTCTAGAGGTGCTAGATGTCATAGCTACATCGGTAAAAGAACTGCCTAAATCTACTACTCAGCTGCAGCGATTAGCTGTTCTGTATGTCAATGATGGAACAAAGTTGCCTGATCAATTCAAAAATATGCAAATGTTAGAAGAGGTAGTAGGCATAGATGTATTCAGACACTCGATGGAATTTCTGGAGGGACTGTGTGAGCTGAAAAACCTGTGGAGGTTGAGCATAAATTGGGATATTGACAGGCTAGAAGGTAATAAAGTGAGATACAAGGAAATAATAGCATCTTCTCTCTGCAAACTAGAAGCCTGCAATCTCCATGATCTGAGCATTCATGTTCACTTGAGAAACAACGATGATTTCTCTTCCTTGTTACTACCTCTAAATAGCATTAAAAGTTTTGTACTCAGAGGAGAAAGCATTTCCATGGTTAACATATGGCAGAGCTCCCTTGTGAGCATCCGGCGATTGGCTCTTACTATTAAGGACATAGATCAAGATGATCTTCAGGTCCTTGGAAGTATACCCAGTTTGACAAATTTGTACCTATGTTTAGACCCAGACCAAAATGAAAGATCTATTGCCATCAGCGACATCCATGGATTCCAACAGTTGGAGCCTTTCACTTTCCAATCTACGCATACGGGTCTGATGTTTGAAGCTGGATCTATGCCAAGGCTTGGACAACTTTCGTTTGGAATCAATGTAGCTAATTTCAAGTCAACATATGGTGGTTTTTGTCTAGGCATCCAGCACCTGTCCTGCCTCACTATGGTCAGTGTCAGTACAAATCGTTTGGGTGCAAAGCTTGGATATGTGGAAGCCGTAGAGGATGCTTTCAGGTGCATGGTAGAAGCACATCCAAACCAGCCCACTCTAGAAATTGAAACTGACAATTTATGTGAATGAACCGAAGATGAAGAAGACAATAATAAAAGCAAGTAATTAGAATATTCATGGCAATATAATGGGAGATTTTAGGCCATCTGTACAATATCTTGAGTATTTCAGGTTTAATTGTGCATTCCAAGAACAGAGGCGGCATAGCGCTGCTTGACATGTGTTATGTATTCTCCATCACAGCAAACAAAGTTGCTTTGTCCAGTTGTTGAGCAAAAATATCCATCCACGTATTTGCTATGTGGTGGTTTCGACACCCACAGGCCACAGTGAAGGAGATAAGCTAGGGTGTTTTGCTGTCACAGTGGTGTTTGTTCATACTAGTTATATACCCGTACATTACAATTGATTTATACCATTAAAATGAGGATTTTTCTTTATCCAACCAATTTTTTATTATTATTCCTTAGCAAATTTTCTATCACCCCACCATTTTTTTTTACTTTTTTATTAGCAAATTTTATGTTTTTGTTCAAAGCGCACTACAACCACCTTTCCTTTTTCTTTTCCTTTTTTGCGGTTTTTTTTCAGAGTGCACAACCGGCTTTTCCTTCTGTTTTTTTTTTCTAGCAATTTTTCTAGGGATGTTGCGCTGTGTGCAATGAGTGAGGGATGGGAAGGAGGACGACTGGGCTTCTATTGTAAGTAGAGACATTGGTAAGGAATTTGCTACTTGGGTTTTCAGTTTGTTCTAAATGAGCTGTCAGCCTTGGAACTTTGCATTTGAGATAACCTGTTGATAAGCAGCTGTGGCTTCTGGTTTTCGATAAGAAAACTTGAAACTCAGGCTCTTCCCTTTGGTTCTAAAGAAATTCAAAGAACAGGGGATGCATGTGTGTAGGTACTCTAGACATAGAAGGGCAGATTGTGGGTTTGATTATATAGGTAACTGTCAATGAAGTAAATTGACATGCATCCCACTTCATAGGCACTACAGCAAAAGCTGAAATACAACATTAGACTTGGACCAAAGCGCCGCAAGTGAAGTACTTTAAAAACTTTCACCAAATTCATGCAAAGGCACATTGGAATGTGATTATCCAACAAAAAGAGGTCCTAACCACTGCTTCTTCAAATGTAACCAGACAAGAGCATTTTTTGCTACTCGGTTTCTTACAATTTTCATGAAAATGCTGAAACCTTCAACCAGAAATCCACATACGAATTGATTGAGGGAACAGGTCCCAGGTTCATATCGCAATCATATCGATCTGGAGTTTTAAATAAATGCACAATGAGTATGGTGGAAAGTGAAAGTTGTAATATAATCAGATATCCCAAACTATTTGTCCTATATTTCATTTCCATTACTAGAGATTCCAGCAAGGGAAATGCACCAGAGAAACAACTGTGAGGAGCTAAATATTTATATGCTGTACATAAGTTTACCTTGTTTGAGAGATCATAGCAGTAGAGAGCGTTTGTGCCTGTGAAAAAAAAAGCATACTGAATCAGTTGCAGGGCAGTGTGGACTGAACCAGGACAAAAATAACTTCTATCAAGCATACTGCAAGTTACCTTTTCTAGAATTTTATGACTGAGAATATCACACCGACTGATGCTATCATGAGGCCCAGTGACCCATACATAATAGAAAGCTCACTTCAAATGGTAAGCATCTAAATGGAAATGCTAGAGTTCTTTTAAACAGGAAGCAAGAGTACATTGCTGAAATGAATATATAGGTGATCAGCATAAGGTATACTATAATCTTGCTTCATAGTTTGCAGCATTTAATTGTCAACATACTGACCATCGTCAATAAAATTGTATCATAACAATTGAACATTATAACTTCCTGCAAAAAAGACAAAAATAAAACCATGTGTTGCATGGAATGTGAGCTTAATCACTCCTCGAACACAATGTAATAGACTAGTAGTAAACAGAATATGAACTAAACATTTCATCGATCAGTTAGATCCAAAGAAGCCATTTCACTATTTTTTTTGACAGCACTGGAGCACTTCCTCAGCTGTAAATAAGCTTGCCAGATAAAAAGTACAGAAGTTTTCAGTTCAAGAAAAAAACAAGCACGAGCCAAGCTGCACCTTGTCAAATGTTTCTAGTGTAGCACCAAATTAATTGTAAATTATGTACATGAAAACGTTGGAGCATTACAGCGTCACCACTCGTCAATAAGAGTAGTAGCCACCTCAGACCAAAATACGAGATGTATATTTCATATATCCAATCAGGATATCATAAACCAAACTTAGCTTCCTGACCGGATAATATTTTCCATCAGTTCTGCTAAGAAGTAAAAAAAAAAATAGTTCCTTTGCTCAAACTTCAATCTGTCCAGTTCAGAGAGATTCTATGGTATAAAATAGAAAAGCACTCAGGGAATCGGAAACAAATGTTAACAGGAAGCTCCACCTTATCCAACAGACATCAGAATTTTTTCTCTTTTTGTGAAAAAGATTGGCAAACCAGCTACTGCATATTACATAGTTCAGCAGGGTTTGAGTACATTTTAGCAAGGTGACATCCCACAAGATAACAGTGTCCACAACCTCTAAAAGACAGCACCAAAAGTTGCTACCCACCAGGATGAAAAGAAACCATCTCAAGACGAGTCCAACAACTAGCAAAGCCGCTCCAGCATCAGATGAAAGGTCGAGCATTCACGACATAACCCTTTAACAATGGAAAGAATGCATGTGGAACAAGGCTTTGCTTAAGCTTCAGAGGAGTATTGTAGTGGCACCCAACATCATGTTGAAAACTCGCCAACAGCTTGCCATCAGTACCAATGTAAAGCAGCCATTGTCTGTAGTAAACCAGCACAAGCACATCCCCGTCCTCAGACAATACCATCGCACTCCAATCATCACCATCATCAAGCTTCCCCTTTATATCTGGGACTGGCAATTCAATCCGGTGCTTGAGAGACCAGAATTCTGTCTTGTAATCCTGCAGTACCCAAATATCTACGATCGTCGCATCATCATTACAGAAGTAGATGCCAAGTGTACCATCAATCTCAAACAGATCATTCCCATTCATCTTGTCAGCCTGACGCATCGACCAGAACGACTCGGATGCGGTGTTGAAAATCAAAATCTTGTCTGTTTTGTAATTATACCAATGCAGGCTACCATGGAGCAGCACAACAGCTGTGCAGGTTGCAACCTCCTCCATCCACCCAATGCACCTCGGCATTTCGCTGGAGCCCAATGTGTAGACGTAGCAGGCATATCTATCCTCAGAACCTTCCGGCCGAAACTGGTAGTAGAGTAGAAGCCGGTATTCACCGGTGGGGCGGTGCTGGTAAAACCCCATGACGAAGAAACCAGTGAGCATCGGCAGATCAGCGAATTGACGAGTGGTCGGGTTACAGACCGAGTAGTAAAATTCGCCGCAGTTGGTCATGTTGAGGATAAGGATGCCGTCGCAGGATGCACTCACGAAGTGAGCGGCGTTCTTGAGCCGCACCACGGGATGGAGCCGCGGCCGAGCGGCGTCCCGGCGGTCAAGGGTGAGGATGTCGAGGAGGCTCCCACCGTCGCAGCCGTAGCCGACGACGAGCGGGAGGGAGGGTTGATGGCGGTGGTGGGCGAGGAGGAAGCCGCGGGTGGAGGTGAGGCGGCGCCATGCGCGGCAGACCAAGCGGCAGCGGAGGAGGGGTTTAGGGGGAAGCCGTACCAGGATCTCCCAGACCACGAGCTCCTCCGGGAGGCCGCGGCGGCGCGGCGGTAGCGCTGATCTTGTCGCCATGGTCGCCGCAGGGAGTTGTCGCGGCGGCGGAGTGGACGGTTGCGGCGGAGCTGCGTGTGACGTTTCCTTTTATTTTCCTGGTGCCCGCTGCATTTTCAATGGGCCTGACACACAAGGCCCAATTTAGATGAGCAATTTGGGACTCAATTGAATTTGAGAAATCAACTGATTTATCTTCCTATCGAAGTTTGAGTGACGAACAAATTCTTTTCGAGACAGCACTGGTTGTATTTATTAAATACTAGTTGGGTGCCCGTGCGTTGTAAAAGGGAAAAAAATTATATATCAATTTAAAACCACAGTGGCTCAAATGATGCTAAACAGTCAATGACTGTAAATTACTTGCAACAAGAATGTTAATATAGCACGAAAAATGAACAACTCCTAATAAACATTATGACGACATAATAGCCCAAATGGAACAAACAAAAGGCATGATCTGTTTTGACAAGAAAGCATGAAATAAAATATATATTTAAGAGTCATAAGAAGGAAAATACAAAGAATTAAATTTTTAATTATATAATGGATTAGCAGCATGACCGATGACACAAAGGTATCATTGCGACCCGGAGTGCGGCAGTGACACTACCCATAGGCGTCAATGGGGATAATCCCGCCATGACAACATGGCGCACCATTGCTTAACCGTGAGCTTCATGGTGAAGAGAGGACGAACGCCGCTCCTCTGACTTAAACTGCCACGTGACGTGGTCACTAACATGTGGGCCCACAAGTGGTGGACCCCACATGTCAGTCACCATATCCCTCTGACTTCACGTCAGGGGTCCCAATCCATAGAGGAGGCAGAGGACGCTGGAGGGGCTGCGGCAGTTGCCAGTCATCCATGGCTCAACGTGGTCAGCCTAGTTGTAGATCTCGTCGATGACCTCGTGGTACGTCATGAGCCTGTACAGCTCTTGAAGTAGTCCGAGGAGAGGATGTTCACTGACAGGACCTTCTCCATGAGCACTTCAATGGACCCCCCCCAGATGACTGTACCTCCATTTTCCCTCCTCTGAAATTAACATCACACGAGATCAATTGATCCATCAATCCGGGGAGGGTCTCCTAAACCTAATTTTAGTCTAGAGTATAATCTATGGACTAATTTACTATTGAACATCTCCAAGAATCAGTATCTCACGGTTCTCAGAAAAGATGAAAATTTTGTAATCGGAACAGGATTTCTTGTAGCTCAGAAACAAGGGAGAGAAAAGTGTCCTATTTTTTCGAATCAAGATCCAAACTTTCGCCGTGGTCGTGGAATAGAAAGGTTACCTCTTTTTCTCTCACCAGGATGCGAAGCATTGGTCGGGCGCACGGGACTCCCCTTCCATCGGCATAGTGATGGTGGCGCTTGTGTTGATGCGAGAGAGAGGAGGAGCTAGTGTTTGGGGTGGGGCCGAATGAGCACTGTGGATCATCGGATGGATTCCACATGGATGAGTACGGATTGTCGGATTCGATGAATGAGTAATGTAGGTGTAAAAGTGAGTTAGTAAATTATAGGGTAGATAGATAGGTATAAAAGTGAGTTGGTGAATTATAGGGTAGATAGGTGTAAGAGTGAGTTGGTGAATTATAGGGTAGATATAGGGTAGAAGAAATGGGAAGATAAATCAGTAGATTAGAGAAATTCAATTGAGATCCAAATCCGTTGTCATCTCAATTGTCCAAATTACTCCTGTAAATGGGCCCTTGTGGTGGCAAACGTTAAGCCCAAGAGCAAAGGCAGGCCCATTGAAAATCCTGCCGGCACCAGAAAAAGCAAAGGACACACTGCTCAGTGCTCACCGCCGCCGTACGGAGCCGCGACAACTCCGTGCGGCGGCATGATCAGCACTGCCGCCGAGCCGTGGGTCGTCATCTGGAAGATCCTGGTACGGCTTACCGCCCCACCCCCAAAGGCCCAAACCCCTCCTTCGCTGCCGTCCTAGCTGCGTGCAGCGCATAATGTCTATTGGAAGATGGGATCAATCTTGTATGTTAGTTATGCCATATCTTTTTTAATAAATATACATTCTGATAGTGCATAAGATTTATCGAAACTTTCTATTCTAGAAATTTTTTTTTCAAAATACCAATATTTTTAATCCAAAACATTCAAAAACACTACTATAAAACGAATTTTCAAAGCACTTAGGTTTGATTTTTTTCAGGCGAACCATAAATGTTAAAATAACTAGAGTTCCTATTGTTCTAGACCCGCATCTGAAAATATATTTTTTGCAGGCGGAGCCTAAAGAGGTCCACCAGTAAAAAAAACCGTATCACCGCTTTATAATCAGTCGTCCTTAAATCCCTCTGCTTCGCCTCAACTATCTCCCTCTCCTCCACTCCAGTCTAAATCTGCCAAAGGGCACGAAGCCGGCGGTGGACGAGGCTCAGTGGTGGCAGCTCAGCGACAGCGGATAGGGCTCGCGAATTTGGGATGTGTGGAAAGCTTGAGTTTATGTTGTGAATTTTGGAATGGTGGAATTGCATTTGTGAAATTTGGGGTGGTGGAATTGCATTGTGAATTTTATAAAATTTGAGGATGTTTGGTATATGCCCCGTGAATTTTGACCTGTTGATTTGTGAATTTTTACAAATAGTACTTTTATAATTCACTTTTTTGTCACCGGAAATCCTTTTTCCTAGATGCTGGCCTAATGGAGCTACTTGGGAAGATATATAATTTTCATATGTTGCTATCTTAAGCATGCCGCCTGTGGAAATGTATTTCGCAGGCGGTCAGTTGTCTTCATTTTTACTGGCCTTTACTGAGGCGGCTTACGCCACCATCAGCGAAAACCTTTTTTCTATTAGTGATGAAAACTTATGCTTGATTTGTAGTGTTTTTGCTTGAATTCAAAAAGTAGTCTACTCAAACTTTCCTGAAATTTTCTACTCAAATGATCAAGCTTTCTACTGTAATAACTTTATTGTCTAAAAGACTAAAACCTTTTACTTCGATGACAAAATTTTCTATTCTTGTGACATAAGTTCCTACACAAATATTTATCAAGAAAAGAACGCTTGTGAAGAAGCATGTGGGTACATGCGAGATTTTTTACGGCATAAAAAATCTTAATATCGATGTCTATTTTTTTAAAAAAAAATGAGGCAGCAGCTTAAATGATGTAAACTTTCCTTTCTATACAAATTAATCGGAGCATCCTCAAAATTGATCAAAATTATCTGTAATTAAACATGTGTTTGGCTCTTATATCAAACGCAAGCGACATCGGTTGCCTGCAGCGGCCACCGTCCACTACTACTAGGTGGATGACACTGCCATCGTCTGGAAAATGGGATTAAATTGATGGGCAACGTCAAAGCATGATGTTCAACCAAAAGCTATATGCATGGTACTCTGGAAGGAATCTCCTTGTGCCACACGTGGTAAACACAGCTCATCCTTTTTGGCAACAAAAGTACACTACAGCAGTGACATTTTCTCTTGTTACTCTTTCCTTAATCTGCTGGACTTAAACATCATTCAAATTTGACTTAAAAAGGTTTTGAGTTGATCTGTACGGTACATAGGGGGAAAACATTAGCACACTAATTTCTAGAACCGTCAAATCGTCAATTAGGAAAAGATACTGCTGATGCGTTTATCTCCTTCGACATATAGTTTCAACCGTAGTGTTTGACAATGCACTGACTAACTACGCTGTCAGTATGTGTATCTTAAGTCAATTAGAAGCAATGGCGTATTAATTGTTTTCTTTTTTGCACCAACCGTCAAGGAAGTGGAAGAAGACCTCTTCTTAACTGAACAGTTAGACTGAAAAATGGTTTCCAGCAGAATCGGCTACGAGAAAAAAAAATAGCCAGGGAAATTTCAGCTCGTTTATATTGAGAACTTTCAATTGGGAAAAGTTGCATCAGCTTAATTGGTAAGTTTCCACTTGAAAGTAATTAACTAATGATGCATAATGTGTTGGTCCATGTTAATAAGTTCAGAATTGCAAATCTTCAAAATTTAGCGAGGATTTCTGTCGAATTTTGGACCATCTAAACTCCTCCAAGATTCGGGTCGGCTTCCTTTTCCATCTCGGGCGAGTAGTGACGGTTCTTGCAATGTGGCCTTGACTAGTTAGGGTTCTGGGTTGGGTTGGAATTGAAGGGGCTAAGGGAAAAGGGGAAGACGTGCTTTCCGGGGGCTTAGAGGGATGACCATGGGTGGTGGAGGACATAGTGGATGGTGCACTCGGACCGGCAGCAAGGTGGAAGTGGTGCAACAGGAGTCGTACTGATGGAGGAGGGTGGTGGGCCGGTGTCAATGGCAGGGGCAAAACAGAACGCATGGTTAGGAGGTAGATCTAGTGGTGAAAAGCCGCCGGAGACAGGAAAGACGGTAGGAGGGGGGGCACCTTGCCGCCGCTGGCTTGACGAGGAGGCTATCCGGGGAGGAAGGGGGGTAGACTCGCCGACGCTGTTTGTGCCATCCGCCCAGGTGGCGGCGGCCACTACTAAAAAAAGATTTTTCTGGACGAGCACCCCAATAGATTACAAACGGACCATAAGTATCCGCGTCTGCAAAAATCGACCCTCTTTTTTCCATATGGCTCCGTAACATATCCATATGCTAAAATCCATTTTTCCAGATGGCCCGCTTAACCTATCCACACACAAAAATAAGGGTATTTTCGTATGCGGGGCTCTTAACTCACCCACATGCAAAAATACCTAAAGATTCCCACTCCCATTTTTTATATCTCCACTCCTCTTTCTCTCTCTCTCTCCCATAACTCTCTCCCCCACTCCCCCACTTATCCCCATGCCGTCGGCGGCGGTGGTGGAGGGCAAAGGAGGCGTGTGACGGCGTGGATCTGATCGACGTGAGCGGATGGACCCGGCTGCCCCTTGCTCCCTACGGTCCCACGACTACGAGGACGCAAGGAGGCTGGTGGTGGCGGCTTCTAGGAGTTAAGTTTCGTGATTTTGGGGATTTTTTTTTTTTGGATTTTTATTTTTATGTGCAGGCAACATAAGCATCCACACGCGAAAATCATATTTTTGCAGACCATTTAGCACGTGCGGCTAGCCCTACCGCACGTGAAAACCCCTTCCGGGCCATTTG